ATCTTTATTAATAAAGTAAAAGTTTAACTTGTTACATAATTAATATTAAGATATGAATTATATTGCTATAGATATTAGTCTACTACTTATAAACAAATATATTATCTGAAAAACCCTTAAGTAGGGAAAACTTGAGAAACTATTTGTTGTAAAAATAAAAAATAGAAAAAACATTTGAGGCAAGATTGCTGCATTATAAAATATTTGAATGAAAAGAAAAAAAAAAAGAAGAAATTGAAACTTTTGTTAAATGTGATTCCTGAATACAATTAGGTGTTTCAGTCAGGTGTCGGCATTACGCAAGCCACATATAACTCAATGAATTTGGTCGTGTAATATTTTGTGATGTTGTTATTGTGTGATTTGATCATGTTGTGATGTAAATAATAGAATAACTGAAATACATTCCAGATATCTATTATATTGTTTTAATAAGGTGTTGTATATTGAGATTATTGGAACCTGCGCAGGATATTAATCACATGCTCTTCCAATCTGATAAGTTGTTGTGTTGTTTTGGTATATGAAAGTGATATGAAATATGATTAGGTTTTATGTGTTATAAATCATTTAATAGAGATAAGCTGGTTGCAGTTTTTGTATTGAAATTTATAAATGAGGACTGATAACTAGCCAGAAGATTATGTGAAATCCAGCACTAGTTATTATCAGTAGAAAACAAAAAAAAAACTCTAAAAAAATAAAATACCGTCTTTTGAGAATAAGATTGTTTTTGAGTTAAGAATGAGAAATATGATTGTTTTATAGTGGTTATATGTAGAAATGGCCTTCACATAAAAAAATTTTTTTTTATTTGTCTTTTTTATTTCAAGTTATTGCCTGGGGCTGTTATTAGTCACTAGATCTTTTAGTGCTGGTTATTTCTGAAATCCCAGGAACTAATTTTATCCTTGAAACCTCCATTGCTCTAAATCAGTTCTCTGGTTTATGTCTCCTCCCTAAAGAACATATTTTGCTAGACAAAGTTTCTTGAAAGAAAGAAGCTTTCTAAAAAGGTAATTTTCTACAGAACGAGATATTGTGAGAAAAGTGTTTTTTAAATTATATATATATAATAATATCTGTTTATTATTCTATATTATTTTAGAAATTTATTTTAATTTTTTATATATTATAATAACAGAATAATATAATATAATTTGGTTTAATTTTATTTATAATACTAAATATTGTATTAAATAATTTATTTATAAAAATATAAATTAGAAATTATTAAGTTACTTGAAAATAATTTTTATTTTTAATATAATAATAATTTAAAATATTATTATATGAAATCTAACAAATTTATTACTTGGATATATTTAAATACTATATTATATAACAATAAAATATATTTTTTACTTAAAAGAAATATATAAATTTGATTTAAGCTATCAAATAATAATATAGATTAATTAATAGATTCAGTATCTCCAGGAAATTATAGCTAGTATAATAATTTTACAATATTGGAATTATACAATATAACAAATATCAAATAATGAAATATGATAAGTAAGTGAAAATTTGTATAGTACCTATTAAAATTGTTAATTATTTTCATCTATACTTTTGTTACTTATATATTTTTTTATAATATATATTTTATATCTAATATATATTTAATATTTAATATATTAATAATACTTATTATACTTTTAAATATTTTTTTATAAAATATTTATTAATAAAAATTTTTTAAAGTTATAATTTGATTTTTTAATAATTTATATTTAAATCCTATTGAAATCTTTAAACTATTGTTAAAATATGTAAATAATTAAAATTACCTAAAATATTTCAGAATTACAATTGTATTTTTAAAAAAATTTCAAATAAGTATTTATAACTGTTTAATATTATCTAATTATTATATTGAATTAAAATTTTTTTTCTAGTAAAGATTCAATGAACTACAAATAAGCTAGTATTTAATTTATTGTAAATTATATATAAGAGATATTGTTTTTTGTTTAAATATATATTTTATAATATATGAATGAATAAAGAAATAATGTTTATTTACAAAAATAAAAATAACAATAATTCAATATGATTATAAAATTTATCAAGTGATATCTAATAAATTAGATAATAACAAAAAACAGAAAATAAAATCAAATTAAAAAATAAATAAATAAATATTGACAAACAAAAACAAAAGATTATCAATATAAAGAATTATTTATATATTTAAATCCGAAAAAAAATATAACAATATAAAATTAATAAGAGTAATTGCAAATATTATTATGAAATTAAAAAATGATAATAATAAAATGATAAAATATTACTAAAATAAACAAATTTTTTGTTTTTTTAAAAAACATATAATTTACTGGATATAATAAATTAATCGTTAATTAATTGTCATCGTATAAATTTTTATAAAAAATAAGATAACATTTGTCAAACGCTATTATCAAATCATGATCAATGTTTTAAATACTGAATTGGCATATATTTTTTATGAATAATTTCAAATCGATTCAGCTGGAATTTGGTATATACAATACATACTATATATTGCTTGATGTAACAATAATAATTTTTATTATATTTTAGGTGCCTTAAATTAACCATATAATATTATTTGATCTGTATAAAATTACAATTACAGTACACCTTAGTTTTTGGAAATATAAATTTCACAAAAGAAGTTTACTCTAGTAAAGCAAAGTATCCTCAATAAACTGTAAATAATAATTTATGCCACCACATGAATCGGGTCAAATGCAGTAATCATGCCTTTTCTGTGCAATAGGCGATTATTCATCAAAAGTACAAAATTTTTTACACGTGTATCAACTCGAAGCATAGATTCCTAATCACTTTCTTGATTATACTGGAATCCTTCTGCCCACTATTCTTCTTTCATTCTAACCTATGATTTGGTTCTCTCATAGATGCGTTCTTATCTGTGCAGTTACAGAGTTTTCTAACCGATCCTGCTTCATCTCTACTTATTCGTCTTAGACGCGTCTACTTGCATTACGTCATAATTACCAATTTCTGCCATGGTATCCCTTGGGCACTTTACATCACACGACGCATCACTATGTCGTGTAATCACCCTGATCTACCCACAACATTGGAATTTAAATTAGGTAACGTTACATGACTTCCATGCTGTATCTCTAATTGTACAGTTCCGACGTTGTCGTTATTTAAAAAATTTATGTGGAGGGTCTTCCATTAATTCAATTCGCCACTAATATATAGTGTAATAGCATGTGGTTAGTACGTAAGCAAACGTCCAAAATTTGAGCTAAGAATTACTGTATATGCGTACTTTGTTATTTTCTTCTCCAATTCCATAACAATGGACACCTTGGGCTTTGTCATCGGTGTCGCAATAGTAAAGTGCATGATCTTTGATCGCACTATGCACCAGAAAGACGATATCGCCATTCACCAGGTGATTTTTGTTGCTATTGGATTCACAACGTTGAATAAGCCAATTATCGTCGGAATTGTTTCCCGGATAGAGGGTCACTAACGTAATTGGTTATCATTAATTGTTATATTTTGAAATATATGTAAACGAAAACGAAAACGAACCCAAAAAGAAAAATACCTTTTCGTTTCGTCGATGCGTTTTTCACGTGCATACATTGTGAATTTGAATTTGTTTCGATGGATGCACAATGTAAATTCCTGGACGTTTCCTTATGTTTGAGCCTAATATTGGTGTTGAGACGAACCGGACGTTTCTTGCTTATACCCCTACTGCTCTTGACTTCGGTAATTGTCCAAAGATCGTTATTCGGGTCAATATCATGTGCCAGACTAACGACCTTTTAAAATTAAAAGACTTAGAATCTTTGAATAAAAAAAACCAACATGTAATAATGCGAGTAGATAAATAAATAAATAAAATACCGCTATAACGCCTCGTTGACTTTTGCGGGCAGTTAAATACCTTCCGGTAGACACGTGAACAAAGATAACCTTTGATCCACATCTGATTGATTTTTTGACCATCTCGATGCTTTTCTGGATCTTCTAGAGAATACAATTGTAATGTGATCAATTGAGTTGTAAATAATATATATTGTGTATATAATTTTTTTGATTGAAACCATACTTGTTTATCCTGGTCAATTGTTTCTTTTTCTTCGACTTCTTGGATATCTTGACCGATTGTTTCTTTTTCTTCGACTTTTTGGATATCTTGACCACTTGTTTCTTTTTCTTCGATCTTTTGGATATCTTGACCACCTGTTTCTTTTTCTTCGACCTCTTGATTATCCGGATCATCTGTTTCTTCAACTTTCTTGTTATCTTGATTATCTGTTTCTTTTTCGGCTTTTATAATACTGAAATATTTATTTTTGGAGGTTATTATTTGCTATGCGTAAGGTGAAAAGGATAGTCATTTTTTTTTTCAAGTTAGTCTAACCTGGATTGTAATGAATCAAATTTTTGATCGATGTTGGCCTCGAGAGAGTTGATTTTATCTAATAACAACGAAATCGATTTGTCCTCGCTGGTCGTAGTATTCTTTATTTTATCCTCAAGAGAGTTGATTTTATCCAATAGCAACGAAATCGATTTGTCGTTGATGGTTGGAGTATTATTTATGTTAGCCTCAAGAGAGTTGATTTTATCCAATAGCAACGAAATCGATTTGTCGTCGCTGGTCGGAGTATTATTTATGTTAGCCTCGAGAGAGTTGATTTTATCCAATAGCAACGAAATCGATTTGTCGTCGCTGGTCGCAGTATTATTTATTTTATCCTCGAGAGAGTTGATTTTATCCAATAGCAACGAAATCGATTTGTCGTTGCTGGTTGGAGTATCATTTGTGTTATCGCTGGCAGATGTGCTATGGCCATCGTCGATTTCCTAATAAATAGTGATGTCGTGATTAAACAAAGTCTCAAAGGAAAAAGGTCAAAGAAGCATTCTCATTGAAAGATTCATACTCGAATGGGGAGCTTAAAGATAGTGGGATTTTTCAGTTCGCAAATATTCTTGTATATCAAGTCGTTAAATTTTGCGATCTTTTCGTTCGTCAAACTACCATCTGATTTCCTAAATGATTCAATAATGTTAGCTCGTATGCTGCAGATTCGCGTGATGCAAAAAAAAAAAAGTTTCCACGAACTTGGTCAAGATTATTTTGAACTCATCGATCGTATGTTTGGTGTCTTGAATTATGTCATCATGTATCTCCAATATTTTTGGAGGGGTCATTGGTAGAATGCCGTTCAAATGTTCTTCATATTTTTCTACTTCAGCCAAGATTCGCTGGATTCTCTCGTATTCGTTACGCTCGATGTGATTAATTATTTCATTCGCGAAAATTTGGATTTCGTGCAGAATACAATAAATTATGGATTGTATTGTCATTGGACTGCGTCTACCCTTGTGGATAGCCGTTCTGTCATCAAATTGTTCAGCCATGGGTTCTCGATTTCCGACTTTAACATCAAGAGTCTGCTCTAACAACGGTATCATTGCACTCGATATATTTGAAATTTCACGAGAATTTTCAATATGCATGAAATTTCCTTCTTTGCTTCCACTCTTTGTTAACCACGAAAGAAGTGCTATAAATCAAAAAAAACATTTGTTTGTTGGTCAGAGATAAAAACGTCGTCAAGGAAACACCGATAACACTTACAAGCATCATGATCTTTTTTAAATCCAATCGTATGAACCACAGTCGTGTAAGGAGTTTTTAACAAGGCGCCTTCTAGTTCCTTTTTGGCTTCCTCTCTTACGGGAAGGGAAGCTTGACCATCCGTAAAGAAGACGATTGCCAAATCATTATTGATGTTAACTCTATCAAGGTTTTGGATTATAGATTTAAAAGCACTGTCGAAGTTAGAAACTGTAATAGTACATATACAGTATGTTGTAAGTAAATTGAATCTTTGCGACAAGCAAAAAATGTTAATTAAAATAATGGGAATACCTCCGTCTGCTTTCACGCCATCGAAGCATTTCTTTATTTCACCATTGTTCCAAAGCATGTTTGGATGATCGCCAAATCTCACTTCATTACATGAAGAAGCGTAGAAAAAGCATGTAATATCTTTTTCGACGAGAATGCCTTTTTGTAATAGTTCTTCAATCATCTTTAGTATAACACCTTTGGCCTGGTGTATCGCATAACACATAGAACCTACAAAATGTTAATTGAAATAACAATTAATATTCTATGACAGTGGACAAAGTGCCATGCATTTTTCCATGAAAGTACCTGAAACGTCCAGGCATATGAAGAGTGAAAGAGTAGGACGTTCTCCATGGGACCAACTGTTCACTGCTTCGGGAATTTTGAAATTCAGGGCATTCTTCTCTTCATATTTGATTCTAGATGTTTGTACCAGCTCCTCATATAATGATCCTTGAAAGAGCTTTCGGTATGGTTGTATGTAATGATCGATCTGTTCGGGAGACAAGTTATGAAATGGTATTAAAGGAATAAGATCCTCGAGACTCTTGGACAATGCTTTAATCTCTTCGGTGGTCCAATATTTAGGATTCGAATTCATTGACGGGTGTTTGACCAAACCCCATTTGAGGATCATATTCCAAATTTCTATCACGTCTACTTCGAGATTATGATTTTCCAACAAATCTACCAAGACCTGCTTTTCGAACTTTACAAAATTCTCGGTCATGAACAACGTGTTCGGATACTTCATACAGTAACTCAGAAGGAGTCCCAATTTCGGATATTGTTTGCATGTGTCATAAACCAACGAGAAATTTCTGTATAACCACTCGTGATGATATTTGACGAGACTTAATTGCAAATAGCTAGCGGCTTCTTCAAGATTAAGTTTTAAGGCAGCAAGCAGAAGATTAAATATCTCCAAAGAAGATCTTCCATCCAAAAGTATATGACCATTATAAATATACCTAGGTCATGAATGGACCAGTTAGATTCGACGAACGACTTCACAGTTTAAACATGATCCAAATTCAATTCACCTGAGCAAGACTTCAAAATCCTTTGGAGAGATATCGAAAATTTTGACTGTGTAATTGTCAATCTTCTTTCCGTCGCTTGTTAAAGCTTTCTGAAAGAAAGATGAGCGAGCATAAAGAATTAAAGAGTGCCCATAAAATGTCTGGGCGTGCGATTTCGAACCGATACTGATCGTCACATCACGGAACTTTTTCAGTTCAAAGAGGTTCTCAAAGTCTCGGCTGATTTTTGTGACGGATGTGATTTCTCTAAAAAAATCAAATATAACGACCAGCAGATGTTAGATCCTTGAAAGTGTAAAACAAAAATGGAAACCTTGTCATTTCGCAGAACAAACCTATTTTTTAATTCAGAGCTTAATTCGCAGAATGCGGTTGGCCTTTGAGTTAGCATGATTTACTCCCAAGAATTATTTTTTTCTTGTGTATTGAAAGATGCCAGACTGGTCTTTAAATAAGAATATTCGGAGACAATGATTATTTTTCAAAGTTTTTGTTGTTTTTATAGTTCCACCCAAATCGGAACTCAATGAATCTATTGCTTTTGAAAAAACAAATAATAATAATATGTACTTTTAAGATCAATAATCAATGTAGTATTTTCGGCCACAATTGTATTATTGGTATGAATAAATTGTTTTATTATAATTTCCGCGTTTGACCGTGTGTTTGTGTTACTATGCGCGACATGAATCTTTAACTTATCAAAAAATCAAGGTTTCCTACTGTACTGTAACTGTACTGTATATGTAAACTTCACCATCACGCGAGTTTCAATGAATACATTATAGGAATAAATTTTTCCGGAAAAAAAGGTTCCGAGATGCACAGGCGAAGCACAACATCAAGGATCATTCAATCTATTAATAGAGGGACATCATAAAGAAAACTTAAAAGGAATGTCAAGTCCTTAAACTTTATTTCACAACCGTTGGCGAGAAAATCATCAAATCATAATTTTGATTTCATGATAGGATAATCCCGGCAAAAATATAAGAAACATATTTGTTTATGAATGACTTCACCCTACTGAATGTATTCTAACCCGAAAAACAATGTTTTCTGAATCGAACAATACTGTAGTCTATTTTTGTCGATGAAGAAACCGAATACGGTAGATTTGAAAGAACTTTTAAAGTTCTTTTTTCTTTAAATACGCAGCACGAGGATTCCATATGGTAAATCATCGATAGAATCAATTCAGAAAAATTAAGTGCATGCAACTTGCTTATAGCAGGTTAATTAATTAAGCTGCCGTGTTACCCTAATTATAATTTATTAACCATTTATAAAAAATTTTTATTTAAAAAAAAAATCATAATCTCAGCCCGAACACGGAGAGCACACCCCTGTTTAAATTTATCGAAACGTTTTTTAACATCATATCTGTGTAACATTTTTATCATTTGTTTGTTCGATGATTTTATTTTTTGAGAAGATCCGTAATGTTTGTTATTTACCACATCATCATCTTGTGCAATTGTACAATCAATCAAACAAATATCGATAAAAAATTGTAAAAAAAATTGGGAGTTTTTCTTGAAATTTTCTCATAAACAGAACTGGTTAGGAAATAATATACAGTAATCGTTATGAATGAAATTGACACTACAATCACCTTTATAATTGTTTCGCTTCTGGTATAATATTTTTCGTTACAACCAGAATCGTTTCATTACAAATACGAATATTAACTGGGAATATATTTGAAGTCAAAAAAAAAAGGTTAAATCTTATTTTCCGATCACTATTTTTAAATAGAATGTATGGCATATAATGTAAATTTTAGAATTACACACGTCTTTACGGGATTCAAAAAATTCAGATTCGTCTCGAAAAGTATCATTAGAGGCTTAATGACTTCCAAATAATTTAGTTTTTTATTCTAATTACTTGAAAAAAGTAAATAACGAGTGGTAATAGAATTATATCCTGATTTCTGGATTTTCGGTTTTTTTTGTATAATAGAGTAAAAAATTTATTTGAAATTTAATGAGTGAGGTGAGAAAAGTAAAACCAATTTTGTTAAACTTTGAAGTTTAATATTGCAAGATCAATTAAGAAGATTTTAAATTTTATTGTTTATTATTTGTTAAATTTGTAATATTATAAAGTTAAGAATTGTATTATTAAAGTGCAATCCTGGTTGTTTGTTTGTTTTCTCAGTAAAATTGTATCCTAAACAAATATTATCTGTACTGTATATAAGATTATGAAATAATTTAAGATAAAAATTATATAAAACATTCAAAAATGTAAATAAATGTTAATAATAATTTTATAAACTTGGATATTGATAAAGAATTATTCGAATTTTTTATTGAGTTTAAAAATTAAAAATATTTAACCGTTTATATAAGTGATTATTTTGTAATATATTTGCAAATTGAAAAAAAAATTTAAAAGTTATTAAGAGTATAGAAAAAGTTTGATAATGGAAATTAATAATTGTAAAAATCAATAAATTATTATAATATATAAAAAACTCATTCCAATTGCTATTATATTCTAAAAAATTATCCAAAATAAAAAAACAAGTACTTAAAGGACCCAAAGAACCTTTCTCCAAGAAACCTTTAGTCACAAAACACAAGTATGTATTTTTGAACATTCTTATAACCAATATTTAAAAACTTCTAGCAGGTATTATCTTCAAAAATATCAAAATCTCAAAAATTCACATATTTAGATTTTTAATATCCTTTAACCTAAGGATTAAATTCGTCTATTCAATTTATTATTTGAAAACTTATAAAAATATATTTATTTAATTATTAGATTACAATTTTGAAAAAATATTACTAACTAAACTATTATTTCTTTTTAAATAAAATTTTGTTCAAATACATGTAGTTTAAAATTAGTATATCTTATTATTATTATATTTTTTATATTTGAAAATAACCATTTACTAGGTACTGATATAGCAGTATTTATGAACAAGTTTTGAAATATTTGAAAATCTTTCTTAATTATTAATCTACCAAAGAAAAAATTTCTGGTTGAGCAAAATAATCAGTTATTTTATTAGTTTGTAAATAATATAATTGAAACATTCACATAATAAATAAGATTTCTTTTTTAGATAATTGTTAAGAATTGTTGTTAAAATTTAAATACAAATTTATAATTAAATTTTTTAATATATCAATCATTTCTTTTTTTTTTTAATCAAAAATAAAATTAAAATATTTATAATAAGAATCTAATAATTTTTTTATAAGCCAATCTCTAAAGAAATAGAATAATAATAAAGTAAACTTGTATATAATATATTTTTAATTTGATCTAAAAACTCTTCATAATCTTAAGATATATTAATAGAAATTTTATAAAATTCAATAATAATTATTTCATTTATTTTTTTTGTTATATTTTTATAATTAATAATATTATTAAATACAATTATATTTGTTGTTAAATTGATAGATTCCATATTATTTACATTTGATTTAAAATTATTAATTAATATTGTAATATAAACATAAAACTAATAGTTGAATAGTTGCTTTCTTTTAAAAATTCTATTAATTTAATAAAAAGGTATAATATAAATAGAATTTTTTTAATTATATCTTATTCAGTTGTTGTTAAATTAATTTTTTTTAAATTATTTAATATTATATTTTAAGTCAAAATTATTTTCAGCTTCAAGTAAACTAATTATTATATTAATAATATATTATAATTTTATTAATTAATTTCATACAAAATAAGATAAGTTCCATTATATTTTAATATCTGCAATAACTCATAAATAATAATCTGTCTTATATAAAACTTAATCATCAGAAATATTTATATTTTTTTGTACTTGTTCTAATTTTTCACTTTGTTTTGATATTATAAAAAAAGTTATTAATCATTTGGTATATACAATAAGTATTTCATATAAAACAATACATTTTTCAATTATAAGTTATAATATACCAAAAAAAAAAAACTCTTTCCCACAACATCTCCATCCATAAAAAATTTTCTTTTTATTCGTCTTCTCTGTTTCAAGTTAT